AAAGCGAAACGCGATAATTTCCGACGATCTACGAATAGAACTCTTTCTCAGCTGCGTCCTCGCCCGCAGACGCAAAGCGGACGCATGGCGCCCGCACAGTGGACGCACCCGCAAGCGCCCGCAGACGCAGAGTGGACGCTCGACGGACGCACGGCGCCCGCAGGATGGACGCGCCCGTGGACGCACAGTGGACGCAAGATACCCGCGTCTTGGACGCGGTTTTTGATAAGTTATTTCTTGGCAGTACTGTACAGTAACGAAGTGCATTTACTTCGTTACTTGACACCACTGCTTGGTGGGGGGGGGGGGGGGGCTTATATTTGGAATGAGGTGAGCGATAGTACATGTGGTGGGCTTATACACCGGGGGTGGGGGTCTTATATTCGGAGGTTTACGGTATGTGTGCATGTAGGCATGCGCATTTGCAGTCGTAGTATGTGAGTGCCACCCTCTTTCAGGACAAATTTTCGGCAAGAAACGGTGATGCAAAGTCCCAAACAAAAGTCTTGTTGTGTCTTGCTACGTACACTAACAAATCGAATGCTATAATTAGTTTGGCCTTAATTCTGCCCCGAATCTCTCAGTCTGGCTATAATTTTAGTTTTGAAACAGGTTATGATCTCTGGGACCTGAGCTCGCCTACTTAAAACACAATTACATGAAAAGCGGATAACTATAATTTTTTTATTATTAAGTTTTCACCAAGAGTACAGCAGGCAATAGAAAACAGAAATCTGATTGACAATGTCCGTAATGAGTTTGTCCGTGATATATGTGACGCAATACGGCAGCACACTCTCTATCCAACCAAAATGGAACGGGAGCATGTGGCAATGAAAGTGGTGGATGCATATCCTTTTCTTAAGGATTCAATCGGAAGTGGAATTGTAAGTTACTGTGTATATAGACTAGATAAGTAAATGCCTAGATTAGGTTGGGACAGTTTTCGGAATAACCAATAGGAAATAATAGAGCGTAATATAGTTTTTCGTTTTACCTCAAAAAACCCACAACAGTCTGTTTCATCCGAATAGGAATCATCCGACCACCTGATGATTCCTATACGGATGAAACAGACTGTTGTGGTTTTTTTGAGGTAAAACGATAAACTATACAGTATATATATATATATATATATATATATATATATATATATATATATATATATATATATATATATATATATATATATATATATATATATATATATATATATATATATATATATAAAACTTTTTGATAAATGAGTAAAGTTGTCCTCCAAATATCACCCACATTTGGCATATCGTGCATTAACCATATATCACATGCATGCATGTTAAATTCAATGAGGGACAATTTAAACTAATTGCCGAGTAATACTAATCGGTGGTTAAAAGAGAGTTAGCACTTTATTGGAATTTTGCAGTATATGATTGTAGGCAGCTGTGGTTGTTAAATTTAGTTCACATCAAATTTTTAATTCCACTGATGAAATATGCAAATCGCATGCTAAAATATATTTAATAAACTTGTTTTGCAGCTATTTACAAAGTAAAAAACATGAGCAATTTCGTAAGCGTGGGAAACGGGGTGCCTGCCCTCCCAGAACTTTTCCTCAAAGTGCCCTTTTTTAACAAAAAGGGTGCCTTTATGATGCAGTGCCCCTCCAACTTTATGCTGCTTTCTACGCCCTTGAGTAATATCTATATATGATCACGGATAATTATTTTTTATTCAACTTTGCAGGGGTCATTGGAACAGTCAATGACATTTAGGTTTAAGAACCTGAGGAAGAATAGGTCTGACCAGAATAAGTCCGCGCCGTCCGGTGAATTGAATCCACGCGAGAATGAACCCTTAACAAGTCAAGTTGATGCAACAACATCCAATCCAAAAAGGATAAAGCTGACAGCGGCAAGGTCCTTGCCTCCTATTCCTGAGGCAGAGACAATCGAGACTTATAAGGATCACTGCAAACGATTATGCAAGGAAATGGCAAAGCCAAAGGCAAGAAACCTAACACTAATAAAAGAGATCATGGACTGTAGCTTTGCTATGCGTCGGCGTGAGATTATCGAAGAACCAAAGCCAGTCGCTGTGATTCTGAAAAAATTTCCTGCTTTGTCATTACCTTTTGAAGTAAGTGACACAGTAGTAAAGTCAATATAGTTTTGCCTTATATACAAAAAGCTTAGAGAATTTAAAAGCTAAAAATGTTAGACTCCATTTTCTTACTCTGAAATTATAGGAGCAGTGTCATCGTTTGCGCATCTTTTCTCTACATAGCAGAAAAATTTCACCATTGACCATTGTTTTGGAGTTAAAACCAAAGAATTATCATGAAAACGATAAAATTAAAGCCTGAGTTCATTGTCTTGGATCAACAAACTTCAAAACGTCAGGCTGTACGTTTTCAAGTTTGGCATGCGCAGAAAGATGTAGATGGCAATACTGCTGTTCTAACATCTCTCATCGCTCTCTAGCTTAAAAGCAATGGCAAACTAGATTGTTCAAGCGAGATTGTTCAAGTGGTGACACTGCTCCTTTAATATGTGAATTATATTACGTACAAATGTCGGACATTACCAACCTGGTAATGTGCAGTTAGATACTGAAAACCCAGCACTAACGTTCAGCAAGTGGATCCAGCAAGATTTTTTAGGGGGATGCTGGGTGAGCACTGAGCAGCCGAGTGTTTCTTTATAATTAATTGGCTTCCTAATGACTCGAGCGCCAAAGGCGCGAGCTCCCTAAGGGGTCCAGGAGTACCGTATGCCCCTGGAAAATTTTGAAAATTAGAACCCTAGAAATGCAATTTCCTGCGATTTGGGCATTGAATTATGAGCTTCAGTTTGACTTCAAAAAAGGAAAAACCTTGGAAATTTGGCCATAATGATAAGCCTAGACGACTAGCCTTGAGATAAAAGGATTTTCTTCATATTTGAGTGTTTTTGATTGGTGTTTTAATTTCTCTTTTCAATATTGAATACTTATAATGGACGTTTAAGCAATAAGCAATTACAGTAATATTGGCTATTTCTATTTTTAACTGGTGCTGCCTTGAATGAATTTTTATGCACCCCTGTTGACCAAGGGCAACAGGGGTGCGAACCCCTGTGGACCCCCCTATAAATCTACCCCTGTTAACGTTGCAAATACTCTTGTAACGTACCGGCCTCGAGTAACATGTCGCGAGTGGCGAGTGTGCGAGTCGCTCGCGAGAATAACAAGTGACGAGTATGTGAGTCACTCACGAGTAACGAGTGGCGAGCATTGAACTATAAATAAACTGGAAGGCTAACTGCTATGATGAAGGCCTATCATTGGATGAAGCCAAAATAGTTTTTCTGAGTTATGATCGGGCTATATATCAAATACGTCGGGCTATATATCAAATTGAAGCTATTGAAAATTGCTATTTGGTGTGGAAATTTCAAGACTTCAGCGAAAAGAAAAATATTTAAAAAATACAAAAACAACTGCAAAACGGCAAATTATCGGTAATTATGTTTGTAGTTTTTCAATATTTCCCTTTTAGCTAAAGTCTTGAAATTTCTACACCAAATAGGGTTTTTCAATAGCTTCAATTTGATATATAGCCCAATGTTCAGTGTTGAGTATTTCTGCTCATAACTCAGAAAAACTAAAATACACTGGCTTCAATTC